ACACACACACACACACACACACAAACACACACACACACACAGAGACAAACACAGACACACAAACACACACACACACACAAACACACACACACACACACACACACACACACACACACACGCCCACCCACACACGCCCACCCACACCCACACCCACACCCACACCCACACCCACACACACACCCACACACACACCCACACGCACACGCACACGCACACGCACACCCACACCCACACCCACACCCACACACCCACACGCACACGCACACGCACACGCACCCACACACACACACACACACACACACACACACACGCATATTCTAATGATGCTGGCAGCTTCCTGATTGCAGTTGCCATGTTACAGCTTCCTGGAGTATGTGCTGTTCCTCGATCTTCGTATCAAAACATGCCGATGGACAACCAACAAACTTCACCTGATAGCAGAAGCTGTCCTGCTTGCGTTCGGCAAAGCCCCTCAACGCGAAGCCTCGCCTGTTTGGCCATGTTTGAAGGACCAATAAGATGCCTCTCAGCAATCGAGAAGCTATAACGGGTAGTAGTGTGTTTCCTTTCTTTCTTTGTCGTGTGTGGCGCATTGAAAATGCCAACTGAGGCCCTGGAGGTTGCAGCGCGACGCAGCGAGGCGTGCTGGGCTGGAGCGAGTTCGGAATGTTTCTACTTGAGGGATTGGGCTGGTCACTGCAGCAATGGGGCTTGCTGGAGAATCATGTACACGCTTTGGACCTGTGATCGACCTGGCAGAAGAGGTCAGCCAAATGTCTTTGCTCCGTGAGTCGGCACCTGACTCACCCGACTCTTTCTCTGAGAACCGACATGTGCCAAGGCCTTCGCCCAGAAGCTGAGAAGTCGATTAGAAGTCGCGGAAGAGCTTTGATTGCTTCAAAAAGCAGGGTGTCATTTCTCAGATCAGGCACATCAACAGTCCTCCGCCCATTCGCTTCAAGTTCGCATGTGCGCTGCCAGCTTTCTGCAGGGAGTCGCTTTCATTGTTGCAAGGCGCGGAGTTTGCACACTACCCCCATTCAGTTTAGCGCAGACAGCCCTTCGACCACTACACAGGGGACCAGGGCTTCTTAACAGACTTCGGGGTCCGATGCTAGGAAATGACTTGACCCTTCGGGCTTTCACGTTGCAGACCGTGGGTTAGGCTGCGAAGGCAGCCCAAGTCGTGAAGATGTGCTCCCCGTTACTGTCTGACATCGCCTGTCACGGATTCAAACCGCTTCTGCGCATGCCATGCCATGGGCGATGGTGAGGCTGCCCAGGTGCTGCCGGCGCGAGAGCTCTGGCTACAGTACTGACTGCCTCATGGTGTAGTTTGCGATCTCACAATGCATCAACATGCTGACTTGAGGTTTACTCAGTGGCAGCGGCTGTTGCTGCTGCGGTGCAAACCTGGGCCTGGCATCCGCTTGATGTACTGAAAACTCGCCGCTCGCACAGCTTTTTTCCTTGCCGCCACTTTCAACGGCATGGCTCTTTCTGAACACGCCGCCTCCGGGCTCCACAACTCTCCTACTCGAAAGACATGACATGTCCGTGACCGTGTGTTGGCATCACCTGCTTCGTTCCTTTGCTGGCTTCGGTGTCCACCGCGTTCTGTACTGAGCCGTACTGGCTACGACGGCCAAATTGCTAAGGCATGCAAGTGCTCGATGGCACTGTTGGCCAGGTGCACGCATATGGCTCCCTGGTGCAGGCCATCTTCTTTACGTCTTCATCTGAACAGAACAGCTGGGCCATGAGCTGAACATCAACATGAATCTGAGCCCTTGGCTTACGAAGTTACGCTGTGGATCCATTGAGGCAAGTTTAGTTTACACGAAGTTCTGCCAGCCGAATAGACAAAAGGAGTAGGCCTGCCAAGAAAAAACTGGTATGCATGACCCCCTCCCCATCCTTCATGATACCCGCCCTTCAGCACACACACACACACACCCCTCCCCCTTGGGCCCCCAGCTGTATGCGACAGCAGTCACGCTGGTAGTCGTGATTTGCATGATTGTTTTCGGTTTTGTTGGGGGGGCAGGTTGCAGACACGGATCGCACCGGAACAGAACCCACCACCCACACCACAGGGGGGGGGAAAGAGGCGACGGGTGTCAATGCAAGGATCCGCGTGTGCGCCTCAGCGAAGTCTATACCACAGCGAAAGGGATGCCATCGTAGTAGCAATCGCAATGACGACAATACGACTGACAAACAGCTGCAAGCAAACTTCTGTAGGCGTGCTGGCTGCGCTTGCAGCAGCCAGTCCAATGTAATTACAGCATGCGCAGCATGCGACGAGTCAACCTCGATCACAGCTTCTGCCTGGTGCATGCTGGAGCAAACGCAACACTTGGAAGACCGAGCTTGCGCACTCAAGTATCCAGTTTCTGCCTGGGTCTCCTTGTGTCAGGCAACTGCCTCCACATTCCGGGTGGAAGGAGTGCACGGCTTCTTCCGAGGCAACAACAGCAAACTGACTAGCTTTCCACCCTTGCTATGTGATGAGTTCTCCAAGCGCTGGCAACGGAAGGTGTGACGGCCAACGTCATTGGGTCCTCGATTGCCTGGGGCCTGCAGATGCAACCCGTCTGCGGAGTTGAAGTGTAGGCCTTGTCACATTTCGGCGGTTCATCGTGTGCAGCTGACAGCTTTTGAGGTCAGATTGTTCGGGACAACAGTGTTTCGCAATGTCTCGCACGAATTGCCTGCCCGAGGCCAATCTACAGCAAGCTAAAGCAGTTGGCACATTCCCAGGTGCCGTGGCGTGCGTACTTTGTCGCACATTATTCTGAGTGTGGTGTCATAATGTGTCATAAAGGGTGTTCACGCATTCGCTCCACGAACTGGTTCTTGCATAGTCGGGAGTGCCGCGCATGTAAACGAGGTCAACCCCAACCCCACCCAAAGAAGGCGAGGAGTGGCAAAGTTTGACAGGAGTGGGGAGACATTGCACCTCAGGTTTGCAACACCACCCCAAGCACGCAAACGGACGGCAAACCCCTCTCTCTGTGGAATGCCACCAAGATGGAGACGCGGTCGGAATACACGCCCAAAATGGCCTTTTGTAGCAGCTTGATCCCAAGGTTTTGCCTATAGGAGTGTAATTGTAAAGGAGTCAGCAGCAGACATTTAAAAACCGTAAAGCAGAAGCACACGCGGCAACACGAGTCGGAAGTTGAAAGAGTTGGGGAGTGATATCCGCGTCCAAGCCTCAGCCTCAAACCGGAAGCCGCCTTTGTGGCTGGGCATATGAGGCAAATGGCAAAGAAAGTTGCCAAGCGTTGCACAGGATGTCTGCGGGTTCTGCCGAAGGAAGTTGGTGAATTCATGCAGGTACGGGAGTGCCGGTAATTATGTCAGATGCATGCTCACTACAGAGGCCCTTGGTTGCATGTTTGCAGATTGTGGTGCCGCATCGTGGCATGATGCTCACAGGACCAGCGCGGTGTGAATGTGTGGGCCTGTGCCCGCTGGGCCAACAATGATAAGTCACCTGCCACACGGGTTCATTTTGTTGGCAAAGCTGCCTTGGAAGGTGTGTGTGTGTGTGCATGGTGGTTCAGATTTCTTAGTCGTGCAGACTTCACGCAGCCTCGGCTGCTTTCATCCACTGCTGGTTTACCAAAACTGAGTGAAGGCAGTTGATCCTCAAAAGGGGAGCTCAACGTTGGAAAGTGTTCGCGTAACCGGAATTTCATTCACTTCTGTACTCCATGTCTTGGTATCTTAGGGGTGTATACATGGTGCGTGGTCTATCGTGGTCTGTGGCTGTTTGGCGTCTACCTGCATAGAAACCATGAACACGCATAGCTTTCAACACATAAAACACGCAAGGTTCAGGCAGTGCATTTCCTAGGAAACTCTGGAAAGGCACGTCAGGAACGCTTTGCAAACTGGCCTTGGAAGCCAGGCCACTGCTTTCTCTTGATCTTGGGGACAAAACATGTTTCTTCCACAGCATTGAAAGCGGCGTGCTCTTCAACTTCTTAAAGAGTACAATGGCAGTGACTTGCGCACATGCCAAGTGTTCCCAGCAGCAAGTGTGGGAGCGACTGCAGATCACATGCTGTCAGGGTGCAGCTCTCCCCTGGCGATCATTTGATTAATGGTCAGACTGCCTGAATGATATCCAAGCATGCGTACCAGAACAACAGCGCTGAGCAGCGTGCACCTGCTGACATGTATGATGCCAGTCCGGCAAACCCACATTCGCATTCATATCACCCTGGTCGCATGAGCATCTTCTCGCGAATTCGAGATGTGGCGCAATTGTGCCGCTGGATTCGTACCCAAAAGTGGCAAAGGCTTTGCTAACTAGTTTCGCCACAGGTGGAAAGACTAGACTGACTAGACAGGGCTGGACGGGAAGTGTTCGGTGTTGGAGCAAGAGCTTGCTGTTTCGATCACGTGTTGCGCATCGACCCAAAGCCCACATCAAGTCAATCACCGTTCTCTGCAGCTTGGGGAGCGCTCCCTGGCCACGGATGGGCTTTGCTCGCTGGCAGCTGGTGGCTGCACCAATCTGGTTGCAAGGCTTGCACATTCAAGGAAGTTCAGCGTCGGAACTTGCAAAGCACGTGGTAGGCTCAGCGAGGTTCAGCAGGTTTCGAGCTCCAAATCCACATGAGTCATCTTGTCACATCGAAGCCCTAGCCATGGTCATCGTCTCGGAAGATCTGACTCGTAGCCCTGGCATAGCCTAGCTTGCTTGAATGGATTTCCAGAGCTCGCAGTGGCAGCCCAGAAGCCCAGGTTGTGCACCCCATTTTCCTGATCAAAACTCGTGTCCTGGCATGCATGTGCCAGATATTGATTCCACCACATCTGGTCGCCCTCAAACCCAGGGCATTCCTCCGCCTTTTCTTGGAGCCCAGGTCTCCAGCTGCAAAGGCACAGCTTGGAGGCAACTGGCTCAGCTGGCTTGTCCGATACTAAGGTAGTGCTATTGGTGCCCTAGCTGCCGCATGGTGTTAGCTAGATGGTTGGAGTAGTAGTAGTAGTAGTAGTAGTAGTAGTAGTAGTCGTCGTAGTAGTAGTAGTATTAGTAGTAGTAGTAGTAGTAGTAGTAGTAGGAGTAGCAGCAGCAGTAGTAGTAGCAGCAGTAGTAGTAGTAGTAGTAGTCGTCGTCGTCGCCATAGTAGCTAGTAGTAGCAGCAGTAGTAACAGCAGTATGCCCTTATGGTCATTATTCCGGTTATAAAATTTGCTCTCTATATTGGGGCTGTCAGCGTGATCCGATGAACCATCTATGTATACACAATCAAGCCTTTCTAGTCAGGGTTTAGCCGTTTTGTCAAGCCCCTCAGTGGATCCGAAAACTCAGCAAGACCTAAATCCTCAATCTTTGCACCTTCAAGCCGTAAATCCCCGAACCGTAAACCCTGGAACCTTCGTAACACACTATGAGACAATTCTGCAGACCGCTTAAGGCTTTACATAACCTTCAACATGCAATTTCCGTCCAAAGCCAGAGAGAAACCTGTCTAAAGCCCGTGCAACGACCATATTCCCTTACAAAATCTTACGTAAAAGCCTTCCGAAACGCAAGGCCTATTTAAAACCCTCCTCATTCACTACTACTATTACTACTACTACTACTACTACTCCTCCTCCTCTTCCTCCTCCTCCTCCTGCTGCTGCTGCTGCTGCGACTACTACTACTACTACTACTACTACTACTACTAAAACTATTACTACGACTACTACTACTGCTGTAGAGGAGCTTGTTGGGAAGAAGAACGAGCCTGCGCCTGTGGCCGGGACCCGAGCTGTTGCCTTGAGGGTGTACCGGAAGCTGCAACCATGCGTATGTTTAGGGTTTAGGGTTTAGGGGGCTCCTTTAGGGCTCATAGGATGTAGGGTTCAGGGGTATGATGTCTTGACATAATATGTTCGTGCACAGGTGGACTTTTTTGAAGGGATTCAGGGTGGCTTTAGGAACCGGGTTCAGGATTGTCAGATTGTTCGAGTAAGCTCCTAAGTAGCTGAACTGGGGTTAGAAGCGATTGCTATCCTGAAAAGAGGCAACCCGTGATCTCAAAAGAAACCCCGAGGTACTCCCTCCGGGCTGGCGCATGGAGTGGGTCAAGAGGAAGAAGAAGGACGACGGGTGGCGTAATACAATACAATACATGGGTCTGAGTACTGAGTAATTTATAGTAATACCACCTTGGATTTATGTATCTATATATATATATATGTATGTATGTACGTATTTGTGTATGTATGTATGTATGTATGTATGTATGTATGTATGTATGTGTGTATATACATATACACATGGAATGAAATCTGCGAATATTAAACTATTACTTATCTGCATCTTTATGCTTTTGATGTTTTGATGTGTATATGTATGTGTATATATATATATATATGTATGCACAGACGCTTACTCTAATATATTCCCAAATCCAAGCCCATCGGCTAATTCAATATTACATCCCATTTCGGATTCAGGCTTCTTGACTGTTGGTGTGTTGCCCTCAGGGTCCAAGCAGTTTAGGTTTCCTGAGAGCTACCAAGATTATTCTGGGGGATTCCTTATCAAAATGTAATATACCCCGAAAACCTTATTCTAATTGTTAACGCCCCTAACTATTATAATTATAATTATAATATAATATACCCCCAAGCCCTATTCTAATTGTTATAACGCCCCTAGTTTAATATACCCCCAAACCCCAGTTCTAATTGTTAACGCCCTTAACTTTCAAAAGCATTGGAATCTCGCAAGGCAAACCACCCAAAACTAGCAATTATACCCGGCAGGGCTAATTTGCCCCTAGCCCCAGCCCTAAACCCTAAACCCTCATATTTCGGCTGTGTCAAGCCCCATGGGCTTAGTGATTTCAGGTCAATCTGCTCGGTGGGTTTCGGATCCTATCCCTGGCTCCTACGCCTCCAATCCCAATGGCTCAAGCCCTACACCGCTAAACATGATACTCTCAACCACAAACTCTCACGCCTAAACCCTTATGTTATAGTATGCCGGCGGAGATCCCCAACCAGTGAAAGACTATAGGCATTTGCAGCATCTGCTACAAAGATAGAATGCGGGAAGCTCTTGTTCGAGGCGCACCGCGCGGTCTGGTTGATCAATTCTTTTTAGTCTTAACGCAAGGACCCCATGGTGCCAGCACGGTCTTTGGGGAATAGACCAAAACCAAGCCCAACAAAACTGAAACAGAAGAACGAAGCCCCCAAACTCTGAACTCGAAACCCTAAGCCTTAAACCCAAGCCCTGAACTCCTTAAAACACACCAACAACCTGAAGCCTTCAAGAAGCGAGAGCCTCAAGCATGTAAAATATTATATGGGCCTGAATATAATTAGAATAGGGTTTTGGGGTCCATTGTATTCTATAGTTATAATCCAAAACCCTGTTCTAATTTCTAAGGCCCCTACAGTACCCCAAAACCCCACACCCTTACTTTTCGAAACACCCTAGCCCGTCAACCCGTACAATACCTGAGTCCCGTTATAGAGCCAACCCTTATGAACCCAAACTCCTCAGAATACCTCATTACAACTCTAAAACCTGAACCCTCTCAAAGCTGGTACGGTCCCTACATTAACGCCTTATGATTACAGTGTACCTAAACCCTACACCCCTAAACCCCTAAACCCCTACACCCATAACCCTACACCCCTAAACCCCTGAACCCTTAACCCTTAAGCCCTAAGCCCCTAAACCCTAAACCCTAAACCCCTGAACCCTTAACCCTTAAACCCTAAACCCTAAACCCCTTAATCCTAAACCCTAAACCCCTAAACCCTAAACCATCCTAGACCCCTAAACCCTAAACCCCTAAACCCTAAGCCCCTAAACCCTAAACCCCTAAACCCTAAACCCTGAACCCCCAAGCCCCTAAACCCCGAAACCCTAAACCACTAAACCCCTGAACCCTTAACCCCTAAACCCAAAACCCCTAAACCCTAAACCCCTAAACCCCTAAACCCCTAAACCCCTGAACCCCTAACCCTTAAACCCTAAGCCCTAAACCCCTACACCCATAACCCTAAACCCCCAAACCCCGAACCCTTAAACCCTAAACCCTAAATCCCTAAACCCGAAACCCTAAACCCCTAAACCCTAAACCCGTAAAACCCCTGAACCCTTAACCCTTAA